GATTCCTCAGCACCACATAAGCAAAAAGAAAAAAGCCGGAAGTGGCGCTGTGGCTCAAGTGGTAGAGTGCTAGCCTTGAACTGAAGAGCTGAGGGACAGCGCCCAGACCCAGAGTTCAGGCCCTATGACCAGACCCCCCCCCCCAAAAAAAAGATGTAACTAGTTATCCCTCACCTACCACTTGAGTTATGTTCCAGAGACCCCTGCAATCGGTGAAAATTTGCAAAGTAGCAATAAGTGAACTATAGTATAGTGAGAGATCACTAACGTTGCTACTTTGTGGAGTTTGAAGTAGCAATAAGTGAGCTGTAGTATAATGAGGGATGCCTAATGCTTTGTGGATTTCCACCTATCCTGGTGGTTCTCTGGAACGTAACTCATGTGATAGGTGAGGGATCACTGTATTTGCTTCTCTTGAGCTGGGGTGGGCCTTCACTTCAGTAATTCCAGGGTGTTGTCACATACAAAAAGTGCTCAGGAGTCCTATTCCAACTTCTAAGGTGTTTTGTTCTACTCTGTCATAGGCTTTTCATGATGTCCTGTGTCATTAACATTCACATCCGACAGTATATGATGAAGCATCTCCAAGCATACAGACAGTAGAAGGAATTGTATCCTGTACAGTAAATCACCATCTTGTGTCTGCAAGTGACATTTTTGCTGTATTTCTTTCAGCACATACTGTCCATCTGTCCACTGTTGAAGTCCTTTTGGGGGATGCATTTTAATCATCAGTTTGTTCTCACCATTCTTTGTTTATAGACTAAAACATTCAGCCAGAGGCTCAGCTTTCCTGGCAATAAGTTGGCTCTGTACTGCCCTGTCTGAATTTTGAGACTTGGGGGACCAAATGATGCTCCCTGAGCCCCACACAAATGCTGTAGGCTTCAGAATGCGTTCCTGCTCAAGTGGTAGCTGAGCAACCAGGGACCTGAGTCCCAGAGTGGATGGCTCGCAGGCAGGAGTAAAAGCTTCTGAGCTATTATTTTCATAAAGCATTTGTCTCCTCTATAGAAAACCTTCACAAAAGTACCACTGACTTCGTTAATAATTGGCTTCTAAAAATAAGCAGTTTCAGCAGCTGCAGTCAGCAAAGGCAACAGTAAAGGAGAATTAGAAGGCTTTGAGGTTAGTTGCAGGCAGTAATGGGTCATCCTGATTAGCTCTTGCTAAATCCATTGTTCTCTCTGTAGCTCTGCTTGTAGATTAGGAGGTTTTAAAGGTAGAGAACCAAGCTTTCTTTTTCTGTAGATTCCCCCTCCCCCAAATTGAATTGAGGACATCATGCATGGAAGCACATGATCTACTACTGAGCTACACCTCAAGCAATAGAGATACTTCCCTTACCAACTCCAAGTTTAGTTGGTGGTCTGCCGCAGGCTGTGGCTGGGGTCAGTTAAGAGTCAGAGTTGTTCATTGTCTTAAGTAGAGGAAGAAACCTGAAAACCACACAGCTAGCTTTCCTTGGTCATTTGAATCCAGTTCTGACTGAGGGGCTTTGTTACCTTGTTTTAAATATATGGTCCCTCCCTTCTGATTAGGCAAAGCTATTCAAACACAAGAGATGAAACCATACTCAATTGTAGGCAGAATGGAAATAGCTTGGGAATGTTCTTCAATGTAGAGTTCTTACTGGCCAAGGAAATTGAGGGGTATTGTATGTAGTCTTTCTAGGAGTCTGTTGACTTGGGGATGGAGTAGACATGCCACATAGCTGGACTGTGGTCTCACCATGTAGCCCAGGCTGGCCTCGAACTTGGAACCCTCCTGCCTATGCTCTGTGCAGAGAATGTGTGCACTATATCCCTTTTCTTCTCCCTCTGTCATGTTTCTCTGTCAAGTTTCTTAGCTCTCTCTCCTCTCTCTCAGCTGCCATGGTTCTCATCTTCGAACACAGTGGTGGATTTCCTCACTTCCACCTCCATGTTGTCAAATTTTGGTCTCTAGGCTGGGTCTTGGCCACAGATGCCATTCCCAGCCCCTATCTGTCACGGCATCTTTTGTGAAATGAGCACGTCATCCCAGGACCTCTGGGCAATGGAGTGCTTTTCTACCCTCAGTCTTACTGAAAGCCCTATCCTTTCTTCCCTCACTTCCCAAGTACAGAAAGCAGTCCTTACTCTTGAGTAAGATTGCAGCTCAGATATTGTCTACTGGGGTTAGCTAGAATTTCCTCTCTCCTCTTCTATATGTCTCCCACGCTTTCCTGACACAGTTCTGGCTTTATTATAGTGCTTAATGATTGAGGGCAGGAGCCAACTCTTGTTTATATCTCTGTCCCCTATAGTTTTTTTGTTTTGTTTTTGTTGGTCATGGGGCTTGAACTCTGGGCCTGAATGCTGTCCCTCAGCTCTTCAGCTCAAGGCTAGCGCTCTACCGCTTGAGCCACTGCATCACGTCTGGTTTTCTGAGTGGTTTATTAGAGATAAGAGTCTCACTGACTTTCCTGCCTGGGCTGGCTTTGAACCGTGATCTCAGCCTCCTGAGTTGCTAGGATTATAGGTGTGAGCCACTGGCGCCCTGCTGTCCCCTATAATTTTTAACATAGTCTATGGCACTTTGTAGAATGACTGCCTTCTGTGATGTTCGTAGATTTTGTTAATGCTGACTGGTTATGATAATACCAGATGCAGGGGCTGGGAAAGTGGCTTAGTGGTAGAGCGCTTGCCTTGCATGCATGTGGCCCTGGGTTTGATTCCTCAGCACCACATAAGCAGAAAAAGCTGGAAGTGGTGCTGTGGCTCAAGTGGTAGAGAGCTGGCCTTGCACTGAAGAGCTGAGGGACAGCACCCAGGCCCAGAGTTTAGGCCCACCACCCCCCAAAAAATACCAGATGCAAGTGTGCATAACCCATAATGATAAAGTAGCTGACATATCTGGAGTACTTTTGTGTTAAATGTTGTTTTGAATGCTTTTTAGATGATCTTAAAATTCTTACCATAGCCTTCTGGGTATTATAATAGCCTTATAATCACTCATCTTCATTTGTGACCACTACTTTGTGCTGTCCTCCAGAGCAGACAGGACCTTTCCATACCCATTGTGTAGTAGATATGTTTTGGGATGCCTGTAGGATTTGTTTGCTCTTCTTGACAACTCCCATAATGCTTTGCATTCATATGATGTGTGGACCAAGCCAGGAGATGTTTCTCCTTCTCCTACTAGGAACATTCCCACATGGGAGATTTACTTTCCTCTTGAAGTATAGCTCTTATAATGACAATTAATTGCAAACACTGTCACTAAATGGTCTGGTGGTTTTTTTTGTAGGATGGTGGTTCCTTGGATCAAGTTCTGAAGAAAGCTGGAAGAATTCCTGAACAGATTTTAGGAAAAGTGAGCATTGCTGTGAGTATGCTGTGAATTTTTTTTTTTTTCTGAGTTCCCTCACTTATATTGTAGTGAGTTGGAGGGAAATAGTTGTGGGAGGAAAGGAGCAAGTCAAGTGGGGGGTTTATTTACAGTTATTTACAAATGGGGTTCTCACAGAATTTTCCCTGTCTAGAGTCTACATATAATACCTTTTTCTTCCTCCATAGAAAGGTTAAAAAATGTGTCTGCTGGGTGCTGGTGGCTAATATTTATAGTCTTAGCTATTCAGGAGACTGAGATCTGAGGACTGGGGTTCAAAGCCATCCAGGGCAGGAAAGTCTATAAGACTCTTATCTCTAACCATCAAAAATCTGGAAGTAGAACTATGGCTTAAGTGGTAGAGCACTAGACTTGAGCACAAAAGCTCAAGGACAGTACCCAGGCCCTAAATTCAAGCCCCAGAACCAGTACACCTTCCCCCCGCCCCCCTCCCCCCAAAAAAGTGTCTGGACAATAGGGCAAGGTATTTAAGAAAATTCACATTTATAGTATCAGAAAATCTTATTTTTAAATTGCAGATTCAGAAAACAATTCACATAGCATTTTTTTTTTGGTCTGGTGGTGGGGCTTGAACTCTGGGCCTGGGGACTGTCCCTCAGCTCTTCAGCTCAAGGCTAGCGCTCTACCACTTGAGCCACAGCACCACTTCTGGCTTTTTGGTGGTTAATTGGAGAGAAGAATCTCACAGACTTTCCTGCATAAGGTTCTGCCCACCAGCCTCAATACTTTGATATAACTGAGTAAACAAATAATGTGGATGGGAAGAGGGGAAAGAGAAAGGGAGGGATGGAGGGAAGGAGGGAGGCAGGCAGGCAAGTAAGCAGGCACTATTTGTTGGTGTTAGGTAAGGTCGAGTTTTTCTGAACACCCTTATCCCATCTTATGTTCTTTTTCCTCTAGGTGATAAAAGGCCTCACATATCTTAGAGAGAAGCACAAGATTATGCACAGAGGTAGGAAATGACTTGCTAGTTAAACAGTTTGTGTTTTGAGTTTCAGCTGAAATTGAAAATTATTTTGTTGTGTGTTTGGAGAGAAAAGACTTTTCTTGGTTGCTTGAACTCTGGGCCTTGTGCTAGTGTGATGGCGGATGCAGCAAGTCTCACCCTCGTTTTGGTCTTGATTAACTTATTTTTCTCTTCTGGTTGCTTGCTGTGGATTAGGCCCTGGGTTTCTTCATAACGAGCTCTAATTTGATTTTCATTCCAAAGAGAAGAAAATCAGTCTCTTTCCCAGAAGGATGGGCTTTTCTTTCCTGCTTGCCTAGAACTGAGCCTCTTTGAAGGGTGTGGCTTTCCTTACTGTGGCTGTTCTCTGCAGGAGCTGCTCTGAGAGCCAGCTGCTACTCTGTAAGCCAGTTGTGTCTCTGGACAGATGTCTTTGGCCCAGCCAAGAATGAGTGTTCCCTTAGGACTTCTGCCTCTGAACAGTGTCTGTATAGGCTGATCTGCTCCAGCTGCTCAGCTGTTCAGACTTCTATCTGCAGATCTCCAAAAGCCCTAGAGGAATTAGCCACAGGCACAGTTTGAGCAAGATATTGAGGGGGGATGAGTCTGGAAATGTAGTTAAGGTTAGAGTGAGAGTCTCCCTGTCTGTTTTTAAGCTTCTTTGCTACCAGTAAGTTCTACCTCTGGTCTAATTGGCGTCTGATAAAATATGTACTATATTTCTTCTCTTTCTGTATTTGAGGAAAAGGAGGGTGTTTTTCTAACCTCTGTTTCAAATTTTTGTTTTTTATTTTTGTTGGTCATGGGGCATGAACTCAGCCTGGGCATTGTCCTTGAGCTCTTTTTTTGCTCAAGGTTTGTGCTCTAGCCCAAAGTGTGAGCCACAGTTCTACTTCCAGTTTTCTAGTGGTTAATTGGAGATAAGAATCTCACTGGGACTTAAAAGTAGCTAGGATTGAGATCTGAGGATCGGGGTTCAAAGCCAGCCCAGGCAGGAGAGACCCATGAAGCTATTATCTCCAATAAACCACCAGAAAACCAGAAGTGGCACTGTAGCTCCAGTGGTAGAGGACTAGCCTAGAGCTGAAGAGCCAAGGGACAGTGCTCAGGCCCAGAATTTAAGCCCCGAGACAGAAAAAAAAAAAAAAAGCTGGATTATAAGCATGAGCCACCAGCACTGGGCTCCAAATTTTTTCTTTCTTTTTTTTTTCTTCTTTTTGCCAGTCATTGGGGATTGAACTAAGGCCCTGAACACTGTCCCTGAGCTGCTTTTGCTCAAGGTTAGCATTCTACCACTTGAGCCACAGCACCACTTTTGTTATTTTCTGTTTATGTGGTACTGAAGAATTGAACCTGTAGCTTCATGCATTCTAGGCAAGCACTCTACACTGAGCCACATTCCCAGCCCTTGGTTAGTTTTTATTAACTTCCTTCAAGGAAGTGGAGCTGTGGCTTAAATGGTAGAGCAGCCTTGAGCAGAGGAAATCAAGCAAAACAAATAAGCAAACAGACACACAAACAAATAAAAGAAGCCAAGCAAGTTGAGTTCAACAAAAAGACCACAAATACTTCAAAATTTATTGGTTTAAAACCAAAGATAGTTGGCTACTTTCTGGCATTTTTTTTTTTTTTGAGGTTGTAAGAATTTTCAATGGTAGAGTGCATGCCTTGCATGCCTGAGGCCCTGGGTTTGATTCCTCAGCACCACATAAGCAGAAAAAGCCGGAAGTGGCGCTGTGGCTCAAGTGGAGCAAATTGTCTATCACAGTCTATAACATATAACGGTGTTGTAGGACATGCCTATAATCCCAGCTACACAGGAGGATGTTGTTTGGAAGATTGCAATGTGAGGCTCTCCATGAGCAAAAACAGTAAGATTCTACCTAAACAATAACTAAAAGAAAAAAGGGATGGAGATATAGCTCAAGTTGAAGCTTACCAGCTTAGCAGGTAGAAGGCCCTGAGTTTAAGCCCCAGTCTCAGTACTGTTTAAAAAAAAGCTTGGTGGCGGGACCAGTCGCCATTGGCTCACACCTGTAATTCTAGCTCCTTAGGAGGCTGAGATCTAAGGATTGTGATTTGAAGCCAGCCCGATCAGGAAAATGAGTGAGACTCTCATCCCCAATTAATCACCAAGAAGCCAGAAGTGAAGCCATGCCTCAAGTAGTAGAGTGCTAGCCTTGAGCGAAAATTCTCAGGGACAGCCCCCAAAGCCAAAAGTTACTCCTTAGAAGGGTGTTGAGAGAATCCCATGTGAAGCTGGACCTGCAGATCGGTGGGACAGCAGTCATGGCTTTTCTAGTCAGGAGGCTGGGTCCAGAGAGCAGCTGCCCTAACCCCAGCTGCTCCAGTTGCTGCTGCTGGATCCACTGGCTCTGTTTGGCTTATCAGGGATGGGCTGTGAGCTCAATTACTCCTCCACCCCAGGAGTCCTGGCTCAGCCACATAGACCCCCCACACTAGTCATACGGGTATCAAGAGGCCCCATGCTCTCCTGCTCAGTGTTGTAGAGAGGTTGGCACTTTGTTGTCAGGTTAAGCACGCAGAGGTGACACTTAGGGTTTTAAAATGTTGAGAGCCAGGAACAGTGGTACATCCTGGCAACTGTAGTTAACCTGGGAAGTGAGATCTGCAGGATTGGGGCTGGAGGCCAGCCTAGGTTAAAAAGTTCATGACAGCGGCTGTGAAGGTGGCTCAGTGGTAGAGCGCTTGCCTTGCATGCATGAGGCCCTGGGTTCGATTCCTCAGCACCACATAAGCAAAAAGGAAAAAAAAAGCCGGTAGTGGCGCTGTGGCTCAAGTGGTAGAGCGCTAGCCTTGAGCTGAAGAGCTGAGGGACAGCACCCAGGCCCAGAGTTCAGGCCCCATGACCGGAACCCCCCCCCCAAAAAAAAAATTGCCTGTTAAGCTGGGTACCGGTGGCTCATGCCTCTAATCCTAGTTACTCAGGAGGCTGAGATCTGAGGATCCTGGTTCAAAGCCAGCCCAGGCAGGAAAGTCCATGAGACTCTTACCTCCAATAAATGACTCAGAAAACTGGAAGTGGTGTTTGCTCAAGTGATAGAGTGCTAGCTCTGAGCTGAAGAGCTGAGGTACAGCACCCAGGCCCACAATTCAAGCCCCACAACCTACCAAAAAAATTTGCCTGTTCCTCCTCCCCTTCTTCTCTTCCCCAGCTAATTCACCTGGAGATCAAACCTGCCATCCGGAACCAGATCATCAGGGAGCTTCAGGTTCTGCATGAATGCAACTCCCCATATATTGTGGGCTTCTATGGTGCATTCTACAGTGATGGCGAGATCAGCATCTGCATGGAGCACATGGTGTGTATCTGCTGCTGTGCCTCTGGAGCAACATCTGGGAATTTGGGAGGCCTTGTTTTTGATCTGGGAGGTGACAGCTGCTTCCCAATAGCTTCCTGGATCCACAGCCCTATCTTGGGCATCTAGGAGGTTTGAACTTAGAATCTGACATATTTACAGGAGGACGGGCCTCCAGTCCAGGTTCTGCTTCTCTTCAAAGACAAGTGGCAACAACCACAAGTCTCTGGGAGTTGTTCCTAGAGCATGCCCCCACGGTTGTCTCCTTCTCAGATGACCCTAAGGTTTTGATGTTTATAGTCTGCTTCATAAAGTTTTGGTCCATTTATTGTGTATAATTCTGTGTGATGTAGGTATAAGGTTCTCCAGTTATGAAGATAAATCAAACTTCATAGAGCTTATAATCTGCTTTAAGGGCAGCCTGAGGGGTTGCTTGGGGCAAGGTATAGTAGTGGAAGATGAGCACTAATGTGCTAATGACATGGATGGAGCTGCCAGTCTTGTTACCATTAGCCACCTGCAGGCCCTTCTTTCTCAGCGACTAACATCAACAATAACAATGTTGATACTAACAGCAAGCATTATCCTAAGCAAATCAATGGTTTATTGCATTTTCACAGCAACCTTTTTTGAATGGATAATATCCCACCTGAACAGGAAACTAAAATGCAGAGATTGAATCTCCTTCCTCTTCTAGATCCCACAGCTATTGTGATTGGTATGGCAGAATTTACACAGATGGGCTGGGAAGGTGGCCCAGTGGTAGAGCGCTTGCCTCACATGCATGAGGCCCTGGGTTTCATTCCTCAGCACCACATAAACAGAAAAAGCCGGAAGTGGTGCTGTGGCTGAAGTGGTAGAGCACTAGCCTTGAGCTGAAGAGCTGAGAGGGACAGCACCCAGGCCCAGAGTTCAAGCCCCCTCCCCCTCCCTCAATGACTGACCAAAAAAAGAATTGACACAGAGGCCGTCTGATCTCAGGGCCTAAACTTGGATTCACTGGATGGTGGTGAAGGCTTGGGGCTGTTGCTTTCTTGCAGCCTTGAACTTCAGATGGGCCTTAGCTTCGAGGTTGCTTTCTTTTTTCTATTCCCATTATGTAACAGGGGATACAGGATGTTAAAATCAGAAATCAAAGTCGAAGCTGGGCACTGGTGGCTCTTGCCTGTAATCCTAGTTACTCAGGAGGTTAAGATCTGAGGATCGCCTTTCAAAGCCAATCTGGCAGGGAAGTCCATGAGACTCTGAACCACCAGAAAATGTCACAACCCGCCACTGCTCTGTGGTGACCGGGAGCAACACAATAATGGTGATTGGACCGTGGACTGAGGTTTGGGGTACCAAGTGACGTGTAGCTTTCCTCCGGCAACAGATCCCAAGATTCTGTTAACCAAGGTTTTTATTGGTCTTGTGCAAGGAAGTAAGGTACAAACTTCAACATATGACAATATTTTGTTTTGTTTTAGTTTTTTGGGTCCGGTTGTGGGGCCTGAACTCTGGGCCTGGGCTCTGTCGCTCAGCTCTTCAGCTCAAGCTTTTCAGCTCAAGGCTAGCGCTCTACCACTTGAGCCACAGTGCCACTTCC